TGGGGGCGGGCCTGGGCGGGGGCGGACAGCGGGCGCTGCAGAGCGTGGGTCTCTGGCCCGCGGCGGGAGCTGTCCGCGAAACCTAGTGCTGAAGTAGGCGCGGATGTGCTTGGTGTCCGGCGCATGGTAATCGGCGCTCGGTAATCGGCGCCCAGTGCCCGGGCCAGTGAAGACCATGGCGTTCATGGTGAAGACCATGGTGGGTGGCCAGCTGAAGAACCTCACCGGGAGCCTGGGGGGCGGCGAGGACAAGGGGGACGGGGACAAGTCGGCGGCCGAAGCTCAGGGCATGAGCAGAGAGGAATATGAAGAGTATCAGAAGCAACTGGTGGAAGAGAAGTAAGTGGGATCCCCCCTTCCCGGCTTCAACGACCCTGTCCCCACCTCACCCCTCAGCCACCTGGCCCACCCCTAGGGCAGTCTCAGACACTGAGCCCCTCCCCTACTTTTCTAGACTCCGTAGGAGGCTGGGATGCACCCTCTAGGCTGCCCCCAGAGCCACCTATCTCAAACCCAGGACCCCACCCCAGCTTCACATTAGGGCCTGGAGAAAGTGGGGGCAGGGGTGATAGGGGCCTGGGAAGGGTGGGGGCACGTGCATTTCTGATGAAACAAGTAATCCTTTAATCCGATCTGGCCTGAGAGTCTGTGTCTTCTAACTGGAACTCCTCTGAGCCTGAGGCTTTAAAAAAAGCAGTGCAGCTGAGGGGGGCTCACAGTCATGGAGACAGACCCTGAGATGGGGGTACTCATAGCTATTGAGGCCACTTGTATGTGAACGATGCTGGGACAGAGAGGCACCTGAAGTGGAGTTAGGGACTGGACTCCAGAGCTGCCTGAGTCAGATCTTTTTAGCTGGGTGACTTTAGGCAAGTTACTTAACCTTTCTGTGCCTCAGTTTCCTCTTCTGTAAAATGGCTATGGTAATCATAAAACATGCCTTATATAGACTTATGAGGATTAAATTACTTAAAGCACGTAAAATGCTCAGCACAGAGCCTAGCACATGGTAAATCATTAAATGTTAGCTATCATTATTTCACTTAGTCCTGATAACAGTTTTGTGAGTTGCAAAATCTTATCCCCATTTTACAAAAGAGGAAGGTAAGTGACTTACCCAGAGACAAACCAAAAGTGGTAATGGAGTCGGGACACGAACCCAAGTCTTTCAAATACTTTCCTCCACTCCATACAACCTGCCAGGGAGGGAAAAGACAGACCGAGTTGGAGACCGGGAGGGAAATACATTAGGGTCCACAGAGCCAGACAGACTGACCTCCGCCCCAATAACTCTGTCCACAGGTGAGTGCTGAGATGAGAAGGGGTGCTGTGATGGGGAAAGGGGCCAAAAAGACTAGTGGCAGACCAGCCAGGTCCGAGCACCCTCCTGACACACAGACCCGTGGGCAGTAGCCATGCAGTGGGCAACCTAACACAGACCACTCCCGCCCATTCCCTCAGTCCTGGCAATGACTCCACCGCTGGTGTCCCCCACAGGATGGAGCGGGATGCACAGTTTACACAGAGGAAAGCAGAGAGGGCCACACTGAGGAGCCACTTCCGAGACAAATATCGGCTTCCCAAGGTAAGCTTAGGAGCTGGGACTGCTAGGCACATCCGGGACTCCGAGTCCCGGGTCCAGACGCCTTTACCCAACTCTGGCCACTGTGACTTTCACCTCCTAAGACTCATGGGAAGCTTGATTAGATTCTTCCTTCTCTCACTCATTCATTGGTTCACTCATTCATGATTATCTGGAGCTCACCAAGGACCACAGCTTGGCACTAAGGGTGTAGCTCAGTCCTCTGGAGACTGATAGATTTGTGTTTCTGGAGCCATTCCAGGCCCCTCTGTCCTCCAACCCACACTCCCCCAACCAGAGTCAGGGCTGAGCAGACGAAGAGTTGGAAGGCAGTAGATTTTTACCACAGGGGTAAGTGCTCTTGGGACTTCTAAACACCTGGAGAGGATAGGATGGGGGAGAAAAGGCAGCACCTTCTGTATCCAGGCACCTGACCTTCACATCCTTACCTAACCACTCAGTAATTCTTCCAGGTAGCTATCGCCCACATCTACAGATAAGGAAACTGAGGCTCAGGGAGGTTAAGGGACTTGGCTAAGGTCGTACAAGCCAGTGAGTGATAGAGCTCAAGCTTGTGAATGCTGAGCCCATGCTTACTGCAAGACCCCTGGCTGCCTTCCAAGGTATGGGTCTATCTGCAGAGAGCAAAGTACCCCCTTGGTTGGCCAAGCAGCCGCCAGGAGGATGTCTCCCCTAGGCACTGCAGCACCATATGGGCTCTAAGCATTCTATTCCTGTTGCCTAAGGAGATAACTGAGGCACAAGTCACTCCCAGTGCCTGGAACTATGATAAACTATGAGGAGAAACAGAAACACAGTGCTATAGTACACTGACCTTGATCTTCCACTTGAATTAGAAGATCAGATATGTGAACATCACATTTAGTCATTAGACAAATGTTTCCTGAGCCCTTGGCTGCCTCTGACTCCCCACAGGGAACCAGTCTTTTAGAAGTCTCTCAAAGGAACAACCAGTCTAGAAAGCCTGCCTTTCTGAGAAGTTGCTGAGTTAAACCCGGCTAAGAATGTAGTCATTCCTCAAATGCTTGCATTAAGCACATAAGAGACACAACTTCTGCCATCAGGGAACTCTGAACCCAGTAGAGGTGGGAAAACTTGGCTGTAACTGAGTAGGACATATGCTAGAAAGCTCCAGGGCCCCCAAAGGAATAGGGAAGTGCAGTGACAATCAGTAGGTACCTTGCAAAGAGAACTTAGGTATCAGCATCAATGATATAGGTTTAAATCTAACTCTCCCATCTTCTAGTTTTATGACAATGGGCAAGTTACTTACTTAATTATCCGAGCCTCAATTTCCTTATTTGTAAAGTGAAGAAAACAATACCTATCTCACAGGGTCATTGTGAGAATTAAAAGCACTCAGCTCAATGTCAGCCATATAACAGGTGTTTGATGAATGGTACCCATCACTATTATTGGTAATGTCCTTTAGTGTAGTTAACAATAGTCAACATGTAACTTACTAACTGTAACAGTTTGACTCCTAGGTATTTCCATTTTGTCTTTACTCACTATGCTGGTATCTTACCTTCAGTATCACAGAGTGAAGTAAGGTGGTATGAAAATGCAAGGTCTCCATGTCCTTGATCCTAGGATGTGGGGATCGGGGCTGGACTCATTGAAACATGGGGCTCAAGAACCTAGGGGCCTGGAACCCAGTTCAGGCCTCTTCCCTGCCCCACAGCTTAGGGTCCCCATAGAGCTTCACTCCAGCCCAACCCTCCTTTCTTCCCTTCAGAACGAGACAGATGAGAGCCAGATCCAGATGGCAGGTGGAGATGTGGAGCTGCCCCGGGAGCTGGCCAAGATGATTGAGGAGGACACAGAGGAGGAGGAAGAGAGGGCCTCGGTCCTTGGGCAGCTGGCCAGCCTCCCTGGCTTGGACCTTGGCTCACTCAAGGACAAGGCCCAGGCCACACTGGGGGACCTCAAGCAATCAGCTGAGAAGTGTCATATCATGTGACTACTTCCCCTGGGGTTGCCCATTGGGGTGACCAGAAGGCTGGGCCCACATGAGCACTAAGAGCATGTCTCAACTTCCATGGATACATAACTCACCTTGGCTTTGTTTCCCCTGTTCCAGGCTAGCTCCAGGACCTTTTTCTGGCCCCAACCTGCCTTCTGGTCTCTCCTTCTCCACTGGGAGCAAAGTTTCTACTCCTCCCCCTTCGCCACAGGACTCACCTTCCCTACTCAGCCTGGCAAAGCCTCTTGAGATTGTAGGAATAGACCTGACCCTCTCTAGCCATGGCCCCAAATTCCTGCCCACATGAACACCCACAGAGAGACACACAGAGGGACACAGGACCTTGGTATGTGCAGAGGCACATGCCACAGATGCAGCCTGGCCCCTCTAAACACCAAGACTCAGATATGCTTACAGGAGGCTTTAGGAAGATACCCTCAGCAGACAGGAGGCCTGAGTTTTAGTGTCCACATTCATTCTCTTTGAAACACACTACCCTTTCTGGGCTCCATTTCATCATCTGTAAAATGAAAATAGTTGAGGTTATTTCTAAGACTTTCTAGCTTGGCCTCCCTGGCCCCTTGAAGTCAACCCAATACACCTCTTTGGGCAGGGCAGCAGCTGCAGCCATAGCCTCAAGCAGCTGCCACTGTGGGCTCTGGCTCTTGGGAGCTGAGTGATGCTATACAAGGGACCAAGTGCCAAGGATAAAGTTGGCATCGAATAGCAGCCCAAGTGGCTCCAGTCCTTCTCTGGGCCCAGGGCCCAGCCAATTTCTGTTTTGTTCATGTACAACTCTCTCTGGATTCCATAGCTGGATCTCCTCTCTTGGCTCAGTGAAAAATAAAAATTCCAAATGACCTACCTATCCTCCCACTTCTTACTGACCTCCAGGAGTCAGGATTCACAGCTCTCCAACCATGACTTTGGAAGAGTGTTCTCTATCTCCTCACCCGCAGCTTCATAGGAGCACCAGCCCTATAAGATGTTCAAGCTCTACCCTCTCGGGGCCCTGGGCAAGGGCGAGGTCCCCCACATTGACCAAGCATCAGGTCCAGCCTGGGACCAGATCAAATAGATCTGGGCTTTGAGAAGGATGGGCAGCTGGAGGAGCAAGACCTCTGGGGTGTTACCTGGGATCATGGGAGGGGCCACAGCTCAACCACAGCTCTCTCTGGCACCTGTGCCTATACCCTCCTCCTCACCTTGGAGATGGAAAGTGTGACAAAAAGAAGGCAGGGCACCTTCATTCCAGCCCTGGCACTGCTGTGTGACTTTGAGCAGATCCCTTTCCCTTTCTAAGCCTGTTTTCACCCCTGTGAAATGAAGATCTCCGCCCCCCAATAATAACAATACATGTTTCAAAGGGTGACTATTGGTAAAGCCCTTGGCGCATGACAGGCCATATCCATAAATTCTAACTCACTCTTTAAAAAAAAGCTCAAGAGTCCAAATCTCATCCTGGTCACCTGTGGCAGGTCCAGGGAACCAACCAGGACTCTCCCAGGGGCCTGAGCCAGAACAAGACATGACAGGGCAGTACTACATCCCCACCCCCACCCCAGCACTGGCTTGTTGGGAAGCCAGCCAAGATTTACAGGCAGAACAGCCATCCCAGGGTTTGGTTTCAAGGGCAAAATTTCCATTAGTCCTCCTTTGTAAAATAAGAACAAGGCACATAAAACCTGTGCAATAGGTGATGTGTGGAGGGTCAGGTGGAAGAGAGAAGAGAAAGAAAGGATGAGGAATTATGAGAGTGAGGGCAGGGAAGGACACAGGCCCAGGATAGGGGCAGTGTTGCTCTTGCTGTCATGTTGGGCCCTTCTTGAGTGTCCTCTAAGCTGCCTCCAGGTGATCACTGGACAAAAACCCCTCCTGACCTTCCTGGAGCTGGAGGAGCCCAAGTCAGGGCCCTAGGCTGTGTATGTGTAGGGGAGCGTGGGCCTCCTCTCAGCGTCAGCACCAAGGCCCACGTCAGCACTCCACCCTCCAGGGGCCTTCTGCCTAATGGGATTCGACAGACCCCTTCCCCCTCAGTGGTTTGCAGGACCAAGAGCAAAAGAAGCAGGGAGACAGGGCTGTAGGGAGGCTGGGGTTAGCACTGGCTGAACCCTCACAAAACAGGACGTTTGGGGCCTGGGGTCAGGGAGCAGGAGGGGGCTGAGGCAACACATTGTTTCCTCCTCACAGCCTGGGAACTCCAAGAAGCCCTGACCTGTCTGCATGTTCCAGAATTGGGGAGAGAAGGCTCTGGGACAGCAGGAGCCAGCTCTGGGGCTCAGGCAGAAATGGGCAAGGAAGGCAGGCTGAGGGATACCCAGACTCTGCTGGCCTTCCCCAGCTTCCCCTCTTCCTTCCCCTGCTCTCTGGCTTCTCTGTCAGTTCATGTCCCTCTCATCTGTGCCCCTCCACCCTCTGCCTCATTCCTGGCTCATACCTGTTCTACATCCATGCCCTCAGCTGGGGGCTGGAACCCTCCTTGCACCTCCGCCACTACCAAGACCCCAGGATCTGTCTAGTGATGACTGCCCTCTTCCCATCCTGTCTCTACTCCTGCTTTTTAATCACTTGCTGCATACTGGTCCATCCACCTTTTATGATGTGAGAGCCACAAAGAAAGCCACTTGCCCACCAGAACTTCTCTTTTCATAGTGATTATAGGATCATATTTCATAGGATTTCATGGAAATCCCTCCATTAGAGCCCCATAGTTTAAAGCAAGGTATTTAACTCATCAGGCTCTCTCCCTCTCTCCCTTCTGTTCTTCCGTGCTTCTTTTGTCCTTCTCACTGTTCTTTTCACCCTTGTAGGCAATCTTGAGGATATAGGAAATGTCGAAATGATAAGACGGGCTCTCCAGTGCCCCCGCAACTCTTTCAGGAAGAAAGGGACAGCAAAGATGGCTGGCCTGCTGTCCCTCACCCCCACCCTCAGGTTATCTAGCCCTTTAATAGGGGGGATTTCAGAGAGATTGGTAGCAAGCCCTGGCCCCTGCATGGCTCAAGTCTCCTTCTACCCACCCAGACAGCTCAAGCCTAGTTCCCAGAGGGAGAGGGATGCAGACCTCGAGTGACTCTCTTGAGGACAGTTGCTCCCCAGGGAGGAGCTGGGGAGAGTGATGACAGGGTTTGGAGTTGGGAAGCACCCCCCTTCCCCTAGTGGCCAGATGGTCCATCCTCAGACACTGGAGGCCCCCCGGCAGGCAAGCTGGGGACATCTGGGGGAATGTTTGCAGAGCCAGAGCTGCTGGCAGTGCCTATTGACCCAGCTGATGCCTCAGGCTGCTGGGGGTTGGGAAGCCACGTGTGAGAGGACTGGAAGGGAGCCACAAAGCCTGCTGCCCTGCCTCTAGCCCAGTGTCCGTCAGGCAAAGCTGTTCCCAAAATCCATGTGAGGCTCCAGGAGAGCAAGTGTGGGCTGGGTCAGGGGAGAAGCAACATTGAGGCTGCCTCAGCCCTTACTCAGCAGGGAGACTGTGCCAGTATGTGTGAACATGACTAGACGTTTAAGTGGGGTCTGCATGGGTCTATGAGCCTGGACATGGCTTTTGGTGTTTTTGTGTCTGTGTGTTTGTGTGTCTGTAGGATTTTGAGAGGATAGATGTGGGTGTGAGTTACTCTGGAGAAAGTGATTACTGACATGTCCCCCTCATACCCCAGCCTCAGGGTTAGGGCATCTCCTTCTCAGGGAGAGCCGGGAAGGTAGCAGCCTCTGGGGACAAGAGCCCTCCTAGATGACCACCTGCAGGAACTGAGCAGTTCAATGACCTTTCTCATCTCCCCAGTTAACAAAAGAAGGGGCAGGCTGGGCACAGGGACACCTGGGTCCTTAATCTGTTCCAGAGACCCATCTGCTGCCCCCAGGACTGGCCCTTTGGGAGACAGAGGGTCCCAGGCTCAGGTGCTCCCCCAGCTTGGCCCCAGCTTGAATGGAAGTGGGAGGACAGGGCAGGGTGAAGCACCCAGATGCTGGGGGTTATCTGCCCCCCTTTTGGACACTTTCAAAGTGATAAAGGTGAGAGGTGGAAACAACTCCCACCTTAGGAAGAAAAATATATTTTTAGAAAAGTAGATTAGTATATTTCCCATAGGCCTCTGCCATTTGAAGACCACCCCAGAGAGCGAACTTCGCCTCCTCCTCTGACCCTAACCCTCCAGCTAGGCTGCCTCCCTCCTTGGCAGATGGTTCAGACACAGGACAAGCCTAGAGACCACCAAAACACTCTGCCCAGGGAGGGCCCAATCCCCCATGGTCCCACTCCTCTCCACACCCATGTGTATAAGAATTTCAAGCCCCTGTTCGCAGGCAGCCAATGTGGATGTCACAAACAACTGGGGTCTGTGGGCCAACCCTTTTATCTCATCATCCTAGTCAGTCTCTCACCCCCACCCTTCCTCATTCCCACTCTCCCTCCCATCCAATCTTCTCCATGCATCCCCACAACCAGCTCCATTCATTCCCCTCGTTCCTTTCCCTCTTTTAACTTATTGAGGCTTTTTTGTCCAGTCCGTTTCCAGAGATATTCTGAGTACATTTCCCTCCTACATCTGAAAATAACATTTCATTGAATGTTATTGTGTGTGCCAGGCTCATGTACAGCAACTTATTACATCCTTAGATTCCCACAGGGCACTCCACTTCATCCTTGTTTTGCTGAGAAACAAGCCAGTCAATGGGTCTCTTGGCCCAGTGGCAGGAACTGAGGATTTTAGACCCGCCTCTTGCCCTCTGGACCATTGCTCTACACTGCTGCCCCACCCACCTCCCTTCCCCCAGGCAGGCCAAGGACTTCTCCCTGTGCCAGAAGCCCTTTAATGATGACTAGATGCTGAGTATCTTGGTGGTGTCTGATAAGTATACAGAACTGCTGCTTTGGAGGCTGCTTGGGGGAAGGCTTCTCCTCCCTTAAGCCCTCAAAGATCCTCCGAAGTGCTGTTCAGACCAAGACCTTGAGGCAGGGGGTGGGTAACCAACTGCTGGAAATGACCCCAGCTTTCTGGGGTTCTGGGAAGCTGGGTATGAGCACAAGACACCCTAGAGGATGCCTTTTCCCCAATCCAGCTCCCTGCTTCCTCTAGCCCAAAGGAAGAGGGGTAGGAGGCCAGGGACCTTGTCTGGGGAAAGGGAATGTGCAGTGTGAAGCACAGAGGTTTTACAGGACCACATTCCTGTCAAGGAGTCTGCCCTTCTCCAGCTGCAGAGAGGGAGGGACTTACCCCACAACCAGGCCTGTGACTGAGCCCCTACTGGTCCTCTAGGTGGTTGGTTGGAATGGTGGCTGGTCAGCCTGAGTATCCCTGGATCCCCAGGGACTGAAGGAGGAAAATGTGGCTCTCATTTCCCCTACCAACCTGTGGCCTCCCCCAGCCCTCCCTCAGGTTACCCAGGTTTTCCTGAAGCCCCTATAGCACTAGCCTGGGAACAGGGGCTGCCCACCTTAACTTGCTCCTTCCCTTCTTCCAGGGCAAGAAGAGAAGCAGAAGTTCAGAAAATAATTTAATAGGGAAACAATGAATGATATTCTCCACACAGGCCTCTAGCAGGGCAAACAGATGACTCTTGCCCCAAAGAGGCGTTGAAAGGCAGAAGGGTAAAAATCAGTAACCCCCTCTCAGCTTTAAAAAGAAACCCCCAAACAACTCCAGGTGTGTACATTCTTCTCCAGATGAAAGTTATTTTGTCTTCCTAAAAGCCCACATTGGGGGCTGAGGCGGTATTAGCAGGCCTGTTAGAAAGATGGGGAGACCCAGGCCCAGCAAGGGGAAGGCGCTTGCCTGGGGCACATGTAGCAGCCTAGAAGCAGGTTTCCTGGGCTGCCAGGTCCCTGAAGCCTGAGGGGTCAGGCAGCTCCTATGCCTCCCCATTGCAGGCCAGGACCAGCTCTGTGGCAAGTAGGGGGTCTTCTCCAAACAAGGACTGAGGCAGGAGCAATGAAGACTAAAGACTCCTCCCCTGGTACCCGCTGGGCCAGGGTAAGAACAAGGCATAGGTTTCTCCAATTTACCCCGCCCCACAAAGCATATTATGTTCATGCTTGAAGGATTATCTTAAAACACTGAAAGGGTAGGCAGAAGTCAGGTCCCAGGAAGACCAGTGAGTTCTGTGGGGCTGAGTGCAGACTGTGAAGTGGGTGGTCCCTGAGCAGTCTTGGAGTGCTCAGTCCATTGCAAGGATGGAAATGAGTTGCAGTTAAGGCTCCCAGGAAGAACAAGAGTAGGCACAGGGCATAGCTACCCCTTGCCCTCTTCTCAGAGCAAAAATGGAAGCTTTGATGCCCCCAAATTGACAGGCTCAGGGCCTAGGAACCACCAACTAACCAAAGTCACATAAAAAAAACCCAAACAAACAAAAAAACCCACTCTCCTCCCCTGTCTCTCCACACCCCAGCCAGGCCCAATGCTCCTAGTGCACACCTGGGCCAGGCTATCTATCACTCTTTGGAGGGTAGAGAGTATCCTGGGAGTGCTGCGGACCCTGGAATACGGAGGATCTGAGGTGCCTATCCAAAGGCTGCTCTGCCAGAATACAGAAGGTCACAGAATTCTGGACATCGGCATGAGTGTGTGCAGCCCCCAACTCCAGGTGGCCTGAGGTCTGTCTAGTCATCCTTCTGGGGTCACTGCAGGGTGCAAGCTGTGGAAGGAAAAAGGGGAGGATCAGTGTCAGGTCTCTGGCAAAAAAGGCAGAATCCAGGGCTTCCCCCAGCTCTCACCCTCCTTAAATAGAGGGTGGGACCCCAGGGCAGGACTCACAGCTCCGAACAGACTCTGACAGACCTTCCTTGTCCAGGGTCTCGGGTTCCCAGCGAGACTCCTTCATCTGTGGAACATAAAGGCAGCATAAGGGGTGACAGGCAGCCAGGGGCAGGTATAGGAGCCACACCAACAGCTGCTGAGCAACCGAGAGTGACAGAGACAGTGATGGAGAGGCCTTTGGATGGAGACTAGAAAGGGAGACATACAGAAGGGAGTAGGGGACAGCCAGCCATGGCAGAGAGAATCCACACAGCCTCGCCCCAACAGGGCCCCATGTGCCCACCTTGACCTGCTCCTTCAGGTATTCAGCTCGAGCCATGAGGTTCTGAACCTGCCAAGGAGAGGGCATGCTTATGGGTTTGGGGGAGGAGGGGCCTTCAGAATGAGCTCCTCCTCACTCCTGCTGCTCTCCAGAACCCTCTATCCCATCAGAACAACTCCCCTCTGAGTCCTCCATGAAGCCTTCCTGACTGAAGCAGCTTAGCCAACTTTCTGCTGCTAGGTCCTCAGACCCTCCCTGTCTCACTGTCCTGACCTGAGGATCTGAGCCTGATGGAACACATAGGACCACCGACATATCAGGTCTGTGAGGTCTGACTCCCAGACTTGGAACACCCCAAGGGAATCCGAGATCCCCCTGATAGAAGCAGGGTCAAATGAGAAGATGAAGCCCCCCAACTCTCCCAACCCCAGTGGGCACCTCAGTGTGAAGCAGCTCCCGCCTCCGGCCTGGGGGCTCAGCTGTAAAGAGAGAGAGGGCACATGGTGAGAGCAGGCCAGCAGGGGCTCAGGGAGTGTGGTGATAGGGACCTCACCTGCCAGCAGCACCAGCAGCTCCCCCAGGCTGTGCTGGTACAGGTCCAGAGCATCCTGCTCCCCACCAACTTCCTCCTCCTGCAGCCACAGGGACACCAGGTCACTTAGGATCATGACCTAGATTCCCCCCTGCCCCACCTAGAACCCTCCTGCTGGGTACAAACCTTGGCCATGGCAGCTGAAGCCACTTTCAGGGCAGCCAGGAGACGTGGTTTGTCCCGGGCCATCTCTGGGGTGAGGGGCAAAGACTCAGGGTGAAGGGATCAGCCTGTTTTATTTCTTTGTCTCGGGGAACCAACCAATTTGCCTCCCCCTCAGGCTGAAGGAAAGTTGCTAATGGCATAACGGCCAGTCAGGAGCTGGGCCTACCTCTGAGCAGGTCTTGTGCAGAGGTCCCCTGCCTTAGCAGGGCCCGACTGGAGGACACAATGGTCTTAAGCTCCTCAGCCCGGGACACGTACTGCCCCACCTGCAGGGGCATAACAGGATGAGGAGGGGCTGTCCCACCCTGCTCCCTCGCCAGTACCCACTTCTGAGTTCTCCCTCTAGGTCCTTGGTGAATGTCCCAAGCTGTAATGTCAGGGGTCAACTGAGGCTGGCCTGACCCCTTCCCAAGACAGGAAGTCCCAGTTCTAAGGGAGCCAGTCCCTGGTGGCCCCCAGACCCCTCACCCATTTCCTCCAGGGGACTTGCTCACCCACCTTTGCCTTAATTGCCTCCTTCCGCTGGGCGTCCACTTCATCTGCAGAAAGTGGGAGTTTATAAGAGGAGTCATAGGCGGGGGGACCCCGGCCCCACGCCAAACCCTCTGGAACCCCGAAAAGCACTAAGTTCCAGATTTACCCTCTGTCTTGTTTCCCACAAAATTCCGGATGGGGAGCTGCTTCTGGAATCCATCCACTGCAGCTATAGCTGACCTACCCCTGCTGCACCCAGGACACTAGGCACTCACAGTGCAGGGCAGGCACGAAGAAGTCCAGAGCCTTGCAGTAGAGAGACAAAGCAGCTGCAGCATCCCCCTCCTGGTCCTTCTTCACAGCCTGCACCACCAGGGCAGTCTGGGGGACAGGCAGATCAGGAGTCATGCCCACCCTCTGCTCACCATGAAGGGGGAAGAGCAGATCCCCCGAGCCCACCCTCTGGCCCCTGTGGGGCAAGCCACCTGTTCGCCACCAAAAGGCATAGATGAGACCCCTAATCTGCCCTCACTCCAGCCCATCCCCGTTGGCCTGCTCACTGCTCGTGCCAGGCTCTCCCCACTAGGCATGTGCTCCAGGTCCACCCAGGGGTGGGTAAAGAACTCCTGGAAGGAGATGCGACGTCCAGGGTCCCTCTCCAGAAGCCGCTGCAGCAGGTCCCGGCAGTCTTGGGAGAGTGGAGGCCGCAGGGGGAGCTGTGGGGAAAGCAACGGGTAGGCAGGAGACAGGTCACACTGGGCTCCAGCACCTTGGCCCCTACACTGTCCTGGGATGCCCCAGAGGTACATGTTTGACAGGCAGAGAATCTGAGAGCCAGGAGGAAGAGTGATAAGTCAAGGCAATGGAGCCAGTGAAGAGCCAAGCCTCCTCCTGCCCAAGGTTCCTGCCCATGCCCTCACTGGAGCCCTGAGCTGTCAGAGAACCCTAGTTCGGGTTCTTCTCCACTCCCTGGATTATGCTCCTGGAAGACTGGGCCTGGGTCTTCACAACTGTCTGTGGACTGATCTGGGCCCCTGGAACTGAATGGAGCTTTAAGCATGCCTAGCACCACAAAGTAGCCTTGAGCCCACATCCTACTCTGCTAAGGAGGCTGTGAGGTCTCCAACCTCAGGGCCCTGACTCCCTCTGCCCCCCAAGGGTTGCGAGGCTCTGCAGGACCCACCTCAATAACCCAGTTACTCCGGATCTTCTCTTCCAGCTCTGCAAACGATTTGGAGGCAAAGGGGGGCTGCCCGAAGAGAGCTTCTGTGGAGGGAGGCAGAGGGCAGGCTGGGAAGGGATAGAGTCCAGCCTGGCTCACTTCTGGGAAGGCCTCAGAGCAGGGGCCCCATGCCAGTAGAGTCAGCCTTCTTGATGGAACCCTTCAGGAATGGCTAGAGAGGCCTTGCCTGAGGACACACAGTGCAGGACTCAGGGTAGGAGAAGGGGACAGAGTTCTCACCATACAGGATGACCCCCACAGACCAGAGGTCCACACGGGCGTCGTACTGCCGCTGACACACCATCTCTGGGGCCATGTAGAGGGGGGAGCCACGGAGCACATGCTTCTCATCCCACGGAGACATGTGCTGTGCGAAGCCGAAGTCTGTGGGCAAGTTCCAGACAGTAGGGCTCAAATTCCAGCTGCTTCTGCTCTCGGCATTTGGAGCCTCATCCTGAACTCCAGCACAGGGCTCTGCCCTACCTTCCAGACGCATTAAGATCAATCCCACTTCCCAGCCTTTGCTCATTATTAACCTGGAATATTCTCTTACATCTTCCTCTGGGGACATAAATCCTACCCATCCTACACAGCCCCCTCAGGCACCTTTTTCCAGGAAGCGCCCCTTGCTCACATCAGCTATGAGGATGACGGCCCACTAGATGTTAGCACCCACCCTCACTGTCCCACCAAGCTCAGGTTATACCATAATCCCTGGCCTCCAGCCTCAATTCTTCTCCAAATTGTTATCAGGGGCCACAACCACCCCTCCTCCACCTCACACCCTCCAACACTGCCGCAGACTGATCACAGTATGAGCCCCAATCCTGGTGATAGATCAAGTCCTGACCCTGGTCATACACTGACTCTTTTCTGAACCCAACCATTACACTGCTGGAGTAGAGTGTGGGTAGCCCTACCTTTTGGTGATGGGGCATGGCCCTGGATCTCCCACCCTGTCACTGTTTAATGACTCCATAGAACCATGAGAACCAGGGCTGCTGAGTGCACATCCACCCTCCCAACCTCATCCCTGGTGTTTCAGACTCATACCTGCCAGTTTAAGGTGGGGCTTCTCTAAGGAGCTCAGCAAAATGTTCTGTGGCTTCAGATCCAGGTGAGATATGTTCCGTTCATGCAGAAACTGCAGGGCACTAGCTGGGGAGTAGGACACACGCAAGAAACAGGTCAGAGGAGCCCATCTCCTATCTGCCTCTTGCCTCCCAAGCTTACATCTGCTTCTTCAAGTGTGCACAAACCCAGTTCTGGCCTGGCTAGTCTACTGAATGCTTTCCCTCCAAGTACCCGCTTCTAAGAATTTAATCCCCACTCCCACCCCAAGGGCCCCCTTTCCTTCCTTGGGCCCCTTCGCAAGTCTCCCCTCCTCCTAGAAGCCTCCCTGGATGCCCCATCCCTTCAGGCTCTTGCTTTCTTTTGGCAAAGCACTACCCACTGGAATGTTCTACGAGGTCCTTATACTATGATCCGCATGTAGAAAACCTGGACTCCTCACAGATGGGGGTTCCTCCTTCTGTCTCTCACATAGCATCCTTAAACCAGGAATGGACACGTGGCAAAGATGGGGCCCTAAAAATCCAAACTGGGAAAGAGGCAACTGCTAAGAGTGCAGGGGCTCTAAGCCTGGAGCAGGGGTACAGCAGGAAGACAGAGATCATGGGAAGGGTCAGGCAGGGTCAGAGGCTTTTACCCAACTGCTGCATGAAGACACGAGCCACCTTCTCCGGAAGAATCCGGCGGGTATGGATGAAGCGAGACAGGTCACCTCCTGCACAAAACTCCATGATGAGGTAGATGTTGTCACTGTTCCACTATAATTAGAGGCAGAGAGGCAGCTTCAAGAAAGTGTGCCTTCTCCAGCCCCCTTTGGGGGTGTCCCCACCCCAGGCCTGCACCTGAAAGTCTTTTAGCTGCACGATGTGGGGGTGTCGAATGCCCTTGAGAATCTCAATTTCTGTCAGGAGGTTTTCCACAGACGCCTTGTTCAGACTTTTCTTGGCCACGCACTTTATGGCTACCACCTGTCGAGTGTCCTTCTGCAGAGACAGATTTGAGGACTCTGCCTTGAGGGACCCAGGGTCCACGCCTGGCCATAAAGGCTCTAGTTCTCTCTGCCCTGTTCTCCATCAGTGGGCCTACACACTCACACCAGCATCCAGGATTCCCAGCTTCCCCTTCTCAGGCCAGTGAAGCTCCCCTGATTCTGGAATCCTGGCCTTTCCACTAGCCTGGTGTTCTCCAACCCTCTGTTCCATGAGCCCTTTCACTGTCTTCTAGAGTGTGCCCTGCTAAGGCATGTCATTCAGTATTCCAGAACTTTCCACTCTGTTTCCTAAGGGGATCCAGCTTTCCAGAACCCTGTCCCAGACTCCCAGCCCACCAGGTATCCTCCCAGTTTTGAGCCTATTCTTCAGCCCCTGACACGAGGCTCCACCCAGGTCCTCATCTGCCACCTCCAACAAAACAGGGGTGTGTGTACGTGTGTTTGTTTTTAAGATCTAACGATGGCAGTCAGCTCCCAACTCCTCCACTGAAGGTCAAATTGGGACGTGGCAGGCCGAGGACACCAACTGCTTTCACGCTGTCTTTAAACTCTCCCTAGCTTCCCCGCCCGGCACCCACCTGGGCTCGCTCAGGATCTGGTGGGCACAGGGCTAGGCCCTTAGAAGTTCTCGTGCCGCGAGTCCGGCCCCGTCCCGCCCCGCACCCACCTTGGCGTAGGCCTTGTACACTGTGGCGTACGTGCCACTGCCCAGGCGCTCGGTGAGGATGAAGCCGTCCACCCGCGGGGGAGCCCAGCCAGGCCCCGCCATCCTGGGGCAGGCCACCAGGCGCTTCCTGCTTCCAGCCGCGGGTTCCGGTCAGGCTAAACCGG